AAAACAAACATTTTCGAACCCCTTCCGGGCTCTTCATCAGGTTTTAGCTCGTAAATTTGAACAGGAACGAAATTATTGGAACAACATTCGTCAATCGAATTTACGAGCTAAAACCTGATGAAGAGCCCAGAAGGGGTTCGAAAACGTTTGTTTTTTATGTTTAGTCGCTCGTTCCACACTATAAATTGGTTCAGTGTTTGTGTTTGATATATAGGTGTGGTGAGTAGTGAGTTTTTGTATAGTTTTAGTTACACTTGTTTTAACCTACATTTTTTAAAATACTGTACTTAGTTATTCCAGCAATCACTATTCCAGTTTTAATATTATTATACATTAAGGACTGATGACGGGCAAATGGCCTTCAATTTGTTCTCAGCTGATTTAAGTATTGAAGTGATTTTTTTTTTCGGACAACTTTTTCTCTCTAACGGCGAGTCGATGGTACCGTCGTACTTGTCATTCATTCCCGTTTCACTTGACATTAATACATGGGATTTTACCAATTAATTTCTTTTTTGCCGTGTCCGTTTATATCCAATTTTCAGCCGGCCTTCTGATTCCTCTTTTATTCCATCGTCGCTTTTAACTTGGGTGATCAGGAGAAGACCCATCTTTACACGCTTGGTAAAAAAATTTCATTCATACGGATCATTATTTCTCAAGTTATAGTGTATATTAGGAACAAAGAGTGATAGGTCATTGACCTCACCATGTGGCCGTCGGTTTCCCCCTAACCGACCCTAATTCAGCGGCTGATTTTCGTTGGCTTGTTGAGGACTCTCTTTTTGGCGGTGCTTCGGCAGATCCTGCAGGAACAACGATTGCTCTGGGCCTGTAAGCTTTCAGAACTTTGCTCTAGGCTTTTTCAGCTACTAGTTACTCTGTGTTCAACAATTTCTCGATCACGTCTATGGATTTTGACCCTACTGCTGCCAATCTCCGCATGGCCGCATCTGAAGTTCTTGATGAACTGAAGGGATATCTAGTGGACAACAAACAAGAAAAAATCAACAGAAGGCACTCAGACCATATTATCCGCAGTGCACAACACATTATTGATATCTTTGCCAATTACACAAGTCTCCAACAACTTGATGATATTTCTGCAAAGCTTGACCGCATAATGGAAAACAAGCGTGACGAGATAATACTTGAAAAGCAAGAAAATATAATAGACAAACTTACTGTCATAGAAAAAGTAAGGGAACAAGCTCCTACTCAGCCATCTTATAGCACCGTTTTAAAATCCGGCATAAACGTCTATCTCAACTAAAACTAAACAACAACTGCACGTTTTTTCTAACAACGTCCTCCTGGTGTATAGTAAGGACAAAAAAAGCAACAGCGATAATCTATGTAAGCTACTGCAAAAAGAGATCAAACCATCAGTACTAAAAATCGGAGTGAACAAGATCAGGAAAATCGCTGGTGGAGGTGTTGCCGTAGACCTGGAAAAGAAGAAAGACATAGCTAACCTGGAGAACTGTATTAAAGAAAAATTACCAGATGTTACCACCCGGCTCTCAAAGAAAAGGAAACTGCATATGATACTGTACTCCGTACCCAATTTCGAAACACAAGATAGTCTAACACATTGCATATACAACCAGAACGACCTTATAAACCAGTGTTTCTCAACCTCTAACGAATCGTCGCCCCCTTCACTTTAAAATTCCGATGCCGAGGACCAAGACTAACGCCAAAGTCGTACTGCATTGAAGAGACTAGTGACTAGTACAATGTTATTTGTTTAATTATTTTATGATATAACGAATAAAATATCTAATTATTCTTAATATAATGTTTTACTATATCGTCCAGAAAATTGTTTTTTGCCCCCCAAAATGTAAATTGTTACTAATCGCCCCCTCAACATGGAAAAACGCCCACATGGAAGCGATATCGCCCCCGTTGAGAAACACTGTTATAAACGAAACATTCTCTGAGGAAGAATTAAGAATTCAACAACCAGTTTTGTGTCAAATTTGCCACAGGGAAGAGAGATGCCCAATACAAAAATCGTGTTATAGAAGTGTCACCAAAGCTTTGTAAGTGTCTACTTATGATAGGAAAGATTAACATTGAATGGTCTCACTGCAGAGTGGGTGACTTTTGCACAGTTCTGCAGTGCTTCCGTTTTTGTGGCTATGGACACTCTTCCAAAGAGTGCTCCCAAACGAAGAATACATGCAGCCACTGCAATCAGGAACACACATTCAAGGAGTGCCCCAATAAAAACCAGAAGCCAACATGCTGCAACTGCCACCATGGTAAGTTAAAAAACACTGATCACAATGCAAGAGACAGCTCCTGCCCAGTATACCAGCGAACCAGATTGAACATTATCTCAAGGACTGACTATGGATCAGAGTAGCCATAAACATAGTTTCCTGCAGGTCAACTTGGGCAGAGGCATTGATGCCACTTCCCTTCTTGCTGCTAAAATCAATAACTATGACTTTATCTTCATACAAGAGCCGTACTGCCAAAGGAACATTCCTACCTGCCTTCCCATCTCTTCAACAATTGTCAAGGATACTGAGGACTACTCTTGGGCTATCACTGTCGTAAACAACAAAAACTTCCCGATTCTCCTTCATAAACAACACAGCAGCGAACACATTGTATGCATCGAAACCATCATCAATAATATTTTACCATTATCAATGTATACTGCCCTTACAATAACAATATTCATGGCTTTCTGGACCATCTTCAAGACACCATAAACAATCTTCAAAACAACAACCTTCTTCTCGTCGGAGACTTTAACTCACACTCCCCTGCCTGGGGGGGTGACCGCCAGGATAACAGAGGTGATGCCTTGGAAAACTTTCTAGCCACTAACAATCTGATTCTTGTCAACGATCCATTCTCCCCACCAACTTTCTCCAGCTCCAGAGGTCAAAGCTGGATAGATATCACCACTGCCTCTCTCAACCACTCTAATCTCATTACAAACTGGAAGGTCCTCCAAGCAGTTTCTCTTAGCGAGCACACTTACCTGCACTTTGAAATGACCACCCCAACCAACATCAGAGACATCGATCCTTTGATGCGTTATAACCTGTCTTGTGCTGACTGGGAAGGCTACACTCACTTCCTCCAAACTAAGTTAACCATCTATAACCCCATGCACTTGGAAGATGATCACAATTTTATTAACAACTCCATCAATAACATCACTAGTACCTGCAATCTCTTTATCCCACGTACTTCCCTCCATCATAAGACCGTTCCCTGATGGAATACGGATCTCACTGGCATGCACAACCACATCAGGCACCTATGCAAGTCTTTTCAACGATGCAGGAGTGAGCCACAGCGCAGTCAACTCAAAGAAAATTACATTGATTACCAAAAAATATACAAACAAGAAATTAAGAGAGCCAAACTCTCCTCTTGGAGGAACTACTGCACCAAGGCCTCCATCAATCCATGGGGCTATATCTCAAAGCTGTGCACTGGCAAATTGAAAAGAAGTCACCTCCTCGAAACCACTACTAATGAAAATATACAAGACACCCTCAAACACCAAATGGACACCTTTTGCCTTGACGATAACCCTGCTGATGACGAAATATGGCACCGTTATATCAGGAACAACAAATACAACAACATAAACAATCCAAACATCCCTCTTTTTGCCCACCATGAGGTTGACAAGATATTCAAAGAACTTCCTACAACCAAAGCTCCTGGTATTGATGATATTCTTGCGAAGCTTGCCAAAAGTATATGGGAACTATGTCCTAACCATCTGCTGCACATTTACAACACCTGTTTGCAGCATGGCATTTTCCCGGAGGCCTGGAAGGTTGCTAAACTGGTTACAATTCCTAAACCTGGCTCGTCCGCCTGCAGACCGATTTCACTCCTCCCCATCCTCGATAAAGTCTTGGAAAAGCTAATCATCACCAGGCTAACATGGCATGTAGAGACCACCCAACATCTTCAAGCTTCGAAATATGGCTTTAGGCACCAGAAATCCTCCAGCAATGCGATTAACGCTGTTACCGACAACGTCCACCACCTTCTTACCCAGTACAAATACGTTCTTGGCATAAACCTCGATATTGAAAAAGGCCTTTGACAGCGTTTGGTGGCTTCTGATCCTCAAGAGATTCAGTGACACTGCCTGCCCACCAACCTTTTTAATCTAATTCGTAACTACCTTAAAGACAGGAAAGCTGTGCTCCAAATTGGCAATCTATCACACAATAAGAATGTCGTCCGGGAATGCCCACAGGGTTCCGTCTGTGGCCCCCTCTTATGGAACATTGCATTCAACAATTTCCTTAATTCCAATTTCGGCCAGGATTCCTTAACTGCTTATGCAGATGACGTCATGGTTCTTGTTGGTGGTACATCCAGGGCTGACCTGGAAAATAAAGCCAGTAACATTCTCCAGAACATACATCGCTGGGGTATCCTCCACAAACTGCATTTCAACCCCCAGAAGACCAGGGGAATCGTTTTCAACAGTCCTCGTAAACCCAACTTATATAAAAGAGTTCCTACCATTAAAATACAGAAGACTTTAAAGTACCTGGGCATCGTTCTTGACTTCCACCTATCTTGGGAGCAGCATATAAAATACATCTGCGACCGTGTTGGCCTCATCTTCCACTCCTTTGCCAGAGTGGCCAAAAACAACTGGGGCCTTAACTCCGAAGCCATGAGTGTAATATATGACACTATCTTTGTTCCCATTGTGACCTATGGCCGTGGCTGGAGCAATGTCGCCGTGAAATCCCATCCTCGTCAGAAGCTGATCTCTGTCCAGAGGACAGCACTACTATGCATCACTAAAGCTTACCATACTGCTCCCAACTCCAGCCTACAAGTGATTTGTAAAAAGCCACCAATAGACTAGATAATAAAACTTTACAGCGAAGTCTGGAACATCAAATGGGGCAATAACATCACCACCAGCTCTACTACTATTCAAGCGGACATGCTCAAACGCCCGATCAACTACAGCAACTCACCTTATCCTAATGAACCTCCCAATTTCATCCACAACTTTCACTCTCCTCCCTCCATTGACATCTACACTGACGGTTCAAAAATCAACAACCAGGTGGGCTGCAGCTTTGTTGTTTTCCAGAATGGAACGGGAGATCTTTAACCAAAGGAATCGGTTACAGGACAGCTGCTCTGTTTTCCAATCTCAGCTGCTTGCCATCAAGACGGCCATCGATTGGTGCTCCGTGAACTTCCACAACACCAACATTGCACTACACTCTGACAGCAACTCCATCATCTCCCTCATTAGTCACAGAAACCTTCACCCTATTGCATATGCCATCCACGAAGCTGTCAAAAACTGTAGCAACTCCTTCAGCATCAACTGGGTCCATGCCCACCAGGGCATCATCGGTAATGAACGTGCTGACGCCCTGGCTAAATCTGCTGCCACAGATCAAACTCTCCCTATTATCTACAAAAAGCTCCTTTGGAATGATCTACTCATCACCTGGCAAAATAATTGGGACAACAACCAAAACATCACATACCAGTTCTTCAAGGACATCTCTGCAATCTTCAACTATAAATGGATCACCCCTAACTTCAAGCTCACCCAGTTTCTAACCAACCACGGCCGCTTCCACTCTTACATCAGTCGATTTGTGGATCCATATAACAGTGGCCTTTGCACAACATGCAACACTCAGGACGGCAGCCTCCACTACATTCTTCACTGTGCAATGCTGGACTTTGAGAGGACACAACTACAATTGCTCATCAGCAGTTGGCATGGCCATTGGCCACAAAATAACCATGAGTTCCTTAATGATTTGATTAACAACAAGGACACTTACAATTAATTTATAACCCTAATCGACCAGTATAACATCAAGACTAATGTTACCACTGGCACATCAACTCTCAACTAGCTGCCTGCATCCCTCTCTGCTGCTGTATATCAACATTTAAATACTGTATACTTCCTTTTATAATGTACTCTACATCTAACCTTTTCTTTGTTTTCTCAATGTTTATTATGTTAACTTAATTCTATGTGCGTATATATTTTAAAATTTACTGTTTTACCCTTCTACTCTGCTACTACTTTCATCTTTACTTTATTCTGCATGTGTTCTTAATTATATACATATATTGAGCACCTGTAATTTGTTTTGTAAAATATCTACCTCTTATTAAGTACTAGCAGACCCTGCCACATGTTGTTGTGGCTCAAAATGTATCTATTATAAATTTATAACATTCCCCCATGGGAAAGGGAATTTTTTGAAAAATTTCTTCTTATTGTACATTCTCTTGACGCACCCTATTAAAACGAAATCAAAAACGCAAAAACCCGCATCTAAAATAGTACAAATAGAAGCAGAGTTCTTTACGGTAAGCCTTAATCCCGTCCATCTCCCGGGGGGGGGGGATTTCAACATGTATCTATATATATAAAAATGAATGTATGTCTGTGTGTGTGTCTGTCTTATGTCCTTCATGCATTACCACACCGTTTATCCGATTGCCATGAAACTTTGGGAAGTTGTTTAATGAGCCTTTGATAAGGCTCGATTAAGGCTTAATGTTTTTTTAATGGGAGTTTTTTTATCAAAATTAATTTATCATTCTAAAGTTGTAGTGCACCGATTTTCCTTTGGTAAAGTTATTTAAAGCTGCTTTCTGATGTCAAAAACGACTTCCGATAGTTTTTTAATTTTTTTAATTAATANAAGTTTTATGGCAATCGTACTATGCCACAAACCTTCGCCAGAGTATATTAAATAACTTCCCAAAGTTTCACGGCAATCGGATAAACGGTGTGGCAATGCATGAAGGACACACACACACACAGACACACATACATTCATTTTTATATATATAGATAATAAAATCGCAGTACAGACTGCAGTACAGAACTGCAGCTCCCATGCATTTTGCAAAACCTACATTTTGGCTCCCACTGACCTCTTGCTTGCCCACCCATTATATATACTGGAAAAGAAGATTGGACGGAACATCTGGGTAGCATAACTGGCAACACATCCACACGGTAAGCAGGAGTTGTGGTTTGAGTCCTGCTTCGGGCCAATTCTTTTCTTCCAGTTTAATCTAAATTAATTAATCAAATATTATAATTGTTAAGTTTAATATGAAATGGCACCTAACGCTTCCCTCTAGGGCCAAATTCATTTGTAATTCATAATTATTTCCAAAATATAGCCTGATTATTTATGGCAGTGTGGGTGTTTATTTGCTATGTATCGGGCTTATGTTGGTATTTATATTTGTATTCTGTAGCAATAAGTTAAATGCATTTTCTGAACATTCTTAATTTTACTTTCCTTGGCTGTTAAGTATAAACAAGAGAAAATATTTGAATCATGTCAAATTTGACCCTCAAAGTTTTTTGCAAATCTCAATGTTTTAAACCTCCTGAACCAAAAACAAATAGATACAGTAAAGCGTCGTTTATCCGAATCAATTGGGACTGGGGTTGTTCGGATAACCGATTATAAACGAAAAAATACATTAACCTATCCCGTGTTGAAATTTTTCTCCGTTGCGTGTTGCTTTGCGTTGAATTTTCGTCAATGTTAAGCCAAACGTAAACTTTTTAAAATAATAATCGTGGCTATTGAACCATTAAAAATTATTTATTTTGTACAAACAAAATAAATATATTGAAAACTATAAAAACCAAAATAAATATACTTTAGAAGTTGATCTAATATCAAAAATGTTCGATTCAGCACCACACACAGTCCTCAGAAAAACACAACACAAAAGTTCCAGTGCTGCCAGCTGAAACACACACACCAACAAAAAAAATATTGGCGTAGCCCAAGATATAGCTAAAGATTGCAGCGCCACAGCACTAGCGAAAATTTAAGTTTGCCGACTTGAATTCTTTCGGATAAACGACGTTTCGGATAACCGACTTTTGGATAAATGACACTCTACTGTATTCTCTCTCTCTCTGTGTGTGTGTGTGTGTGTGTGTGTGTGTGTGT